ATCCCTAAACCAAACGCGAGGTGGACCAAGAGAAAGCAAGAAAGTGAAGAAAGAGGAAAGAGGAAGAAAGGAGGGATCAAGTTGTTGGGAGAGAGGAGGATGAGGAAGCTGGGGTAGATGGGGACCAGGAAAGGCAAGGGACTCTGAATCCTTGTGAGACCTCAAGAAAAAGAGCCAACATCGAATGTGTCAAGTTTGAGTTTCTAAGGGAAGAACAAACACAGCCGCATGTTAGTCACGTGTCAGCTTTGGAAAGGCAATAAAACAGGCGTGATAGACACCTTTTGGCCTTCCCTGCCACAAACCTGGCGCAAACTCCCGCTCCCAGATAAGACCCGGCCCGACCGATGGGAGGACGTCTATCGACAGCCCCTCTTTGGCAACAGATGGGTGACAGATACGAGGGGCTGTGTGATGATCAGCTCATCCCCCCCCTGGAAGAACTGGGTTAAACATGGGATACTTCGAGTAGGGGACCTCTGGGATAATGAAAAGCATGATTGGAAGACAGGGGACCAGCTGCGAACAACCCTGCGGTATTGCCACCATATAGAAGTTTCATTAGAGGATCTTATTGAAGCCATTCCATTGGAATGGTACCGGATCCTCAGACGAGGCCCCACCTTGAGAGAGGGTGACTGGGTGACAATCAAAGAGTCTCCGCAGCAGATTGGTTTGGTACACATGATTTCCCCCCAGACGGTCCTGACTGAGAACTATATGATCACAAAAACTAATACTCTCCAAGGGAGTGATGTGCCTTTCGAATGGAGAAACAGAACATCAGTTTATCGAGTGAGGATTATTGAGGAGAAGGGACAGAGGGTGGCTTTCCAACCAGACAAACCAATCCAGGACCTGGCCCTGGACCCGGTGGAATGGGCCTGGCAGCCCCCTCAAAAGAGGGGCACCCCTAAGCCCAACCCCATCAGCCTACGCTTACTAACAGTCAAATCAACATATAAATTGCTCCAACCCAAGAGGCATTTGAGAGATATGATCAATGATAGATGGGCCAGACAACTAAATATCGATTGTTCCCTCTTGTCACCAATCCAATGGTTCAAGGAACAAAAGCATAGGCCCATGAAAATTACCTCCCTGCAATGGCAGATTGCCCACCGCTGTCTGCTAACCAATGACTGGCTAACCGACCGCACGAACCTCGAGCAAAGAGGCCTGTTGCTTCCATGGTGCCAGCGTTGCCAGAGCCTCTTCCCCTTCCACAAGAAGGCATTGAGCACATTTTTATGCAGTGCCCGGTCGCTCAATACGTATGGAGGTGGTAGGATCGTATCTGGCGGAAAATGGAACCAGACACTCCCTGGCCCTGGTCATGGCAAAAGTGCACCATGGTCATGGAAAAGGTACGGGTAGAAGGTGCAGAGATCACAAAACAAATACAGCAGCAAATACACCTTGACCTCACACGTAGATGGTAAGACACAAAATCACAGCTAGACCTCCTTCTACAAACTGGGGACGTCAAGAGAACGATTACAGTTTTTTGCAAAGATTGGGTAGGGGGGGAAAGAGAAGGTTGGATTGCAAAGGTGGTATGGAGCGGAGAGCATGAAGAAGGGATGAGGGACTTGGAAGAGATGAGAGATTATAGGCTAGTTTTTAAGGATTGGACTAATATAGATCCCACATTCCCATTACGCCCTCCCTCAGACTTCCCAGACCCCTTCCCACCCCACGCCCTGTCCCTGGCAGAATTTTGGTCCTGATCCTCAGACCTCCTCACGTCCCTTTTGTCTATCACTCCGCTAACTCTCCACTGACAATCACGAGGAACTCCTCCTCAGTGCCCCCTGGGGAGAACCTCGCTCATCTACAAAAAGCAGCCTGCATTGGCAGTCAGAAGGCTGGGTTTGGAGCAAGCAGCTGGTGACAGTATCAGTCCTCAACTTCCTTTCTGGCGCCCTCCCTCTGAGGGTGAAGAGATACAGAGGCAACAGCAGTCTGCCCAGTTAATCCCCTGCTCTGCAGGGCAATCAATGCTGGCAGGCAACAATAGTTCTCCATTCCCACAAAAGACTGCACTTCAGCTCTTACAGATGCTTTATGGCTCCCACATAAGCCCGCTCAGTTAATCCCCTGATACCGCAGGGTAATCAATGCTGGCAGGCTCCACAGTCACTCACAGTCTCCAGATCTTTCTAAATATTCTCATCGTGTAAACTGGGACGCTGGACCCAATTTCCAGCAGGTGATGCTCCCCACCAACAGATGGAGCCTCTCCGCCGGTAGTAGTGCTGTCTGCTCTTATCAGCAGCACTAGCACTGGAAGGGGTGTCTTTCTGAAAAAAAAAAAAAAAAAAAGTTTGCATCAAGAGCGGTCTGTCATATGCAGATGGCTTGAGTTCAGAAATGGCAAAAATAAAACCCACCTATTTTTGCTTTTTTTTTGCTCACTCCAAACTTCCTCCCCGAGAAGTCCCCGATTTAGTCTTCTTTCCGCCCCAGCAACTATAGTTGTTTTAAAAAGGAAAGTTGGTCAAGAAGTGAATGTGTGGCTCATTGCCTAGATATGCTTGTCCAAACACTGGACAGACCACCACTCTCCTCACCTGCTGCTCAACATGCTTCACGTGCTTATCCAACTATACCACAGTCACATGGGGAGACACACACACAGACCGAAGACAACAAAACACACACACACACACACACACACACACACACACAGACACACACACACACACACACA